CGGAGCAGGCCCGGGAAGGACCTGGGCGCGGGGCGGGCACCCGGGCCCCAGCCGCGGCTGTGCGGGCAGGGGCAGAGCCGCGTCCGGTTGGCGGAAGCAGCGTCCTCCTCCTCCTCGTGCTCCCCTTCTCCCTCCGCGTGCGCTCCCTGCTCCCGCTGCTCGCACGGGCTCCCGCGTACCACGCTTCGATTTACGATTGCTGCCGAAGAGAACAAATAACGAAAAGTCTCTCGGCCGCGGTGTCCGTGCCTGCCCCCGCCCCCTAGTGATCGTTCGCGTCCCTTTGCCTCAGGTTGAGCTAAAACACACTCCCCGGGAGCCATCTGGTCTGATTCCCGGGAACTCGGCATATGGTCTCCATTAAGCTCGCCAACACCGTGCATCGGGAATGCGGCCCTGGAGCGGCTCCGGAACCTCCAGGATTTTTGCCCTGGCCAGCCTGGATCAGACTCCGGGTTGAAGTTCCGAGTTTAAGACCTAAGGCTCCTGGTCCGAGGCTGTCATTACTGTGCCTCCGGACTCCAAGGAAACGTAGTTCGCGGTGATCCTTATCGCTCATTCGTCCTCCAGGATCTGTGTCCCACTGTGTGCGAGATATAGCTTGTTAGAAGGCTGTTTTAATTCTAAAAATCAACGTAAACTTACAGAAACAGCCTGGGCACCGAAATGCAACACGACCAGGAGGAGCATTGGTATAGTTGGGTCTACCTATACCTTCGCCAGTGTCTGTCCCTCAGGGAAAAATCGAAACAACACGCATGTTAGCGCGTGGAAAATATTCCTCACACATGGGTTAGAGTTCGCAAGAAAAAGAGAATGGGCAGATTTATGGAGCTGCAGAATCGGATACCTGGAAAGCGCCTTAGAATCTGTACCAAAGAGAAGCCTGCCGACTTATTGAGGAGACTCGGAAAGTGGAGGGCGTTGGGGAGGTCCGTGGCTCCGCAGTCCTACAGCCTAATTTAAGGAGTAGGTGGTGGAGAACCGGCCCTCGCGTCAAACTGAATTCATTCGTTTTCCTACTCCAGCCTTTCCTCTGCACTTCCCTCTTTGTCGAAGCCCTGGATCCTGCCTTTTGGGGGAGCGCTACCCTTTTCTTCCCTCCCCCTAACCTAGGTTTCACTCCTTCCTTTTCTATTGCTTGTCTTCCTATTCTGCTATCCCCGCCGCAGCCACAGCCGTGTGATTTTATTTGGGTTTTTAAAAATGAAACCAGGTGCTGCATAAAAGAAAAGCGAAGTAATAACAAGGAAAAACGATCCAACGCCTGAGGAATGTGCTGAGTTTTAGGACTTAGGCTGTCCTGGCAGTGAACAGCCTGACACAGGGAGGTGGATGGACACGGAGCGCAGACCTTACAAGGCAGCCCTGGCCTCCTCAGACAGGATGGTCAAGGAGCCTGTGACTCACCCCACCAAACCAGAGGGAGACTTCCCAGGGGCTAGTGCCAAGGGATCCTCAACTTTTCCCTGCTGGGCTCAAAGCAGTCTGATGGAGCTGGGGCCACCCTGAGTTTTGGAGGGGAGGAAGCACAGGAGGAAGGCCATCCCTGGGAAAGAAGCAGCTGCGTGAACTTGGGAAAGGGTTTGCGTGCATTCAGATGAATACCATGGAAGCTGCAAAGCTGCTCCAAAATGAGCATGTATCGTAGCACGGACAATGGTTTGGGAGTTCCGGGTCATGAGATTGCTGCAGTGGCTGGAGAGGACGGGTGCGAAGGGGTGTTCTTCGCAGCAATGCGTAGGGCAGAGGAAGAGCTTGTCAGATGCTGGCGCGTTTCTGGGGTGCCATTCCTAATGCGGTCAGCAGGAGCGGCGCAGAGCTCGAGCCCCGGACTTTGCGTAAACACCCAGAGAGACACCCAGGCTCACAGCCTCACATTCAAAGAATTTTTTTCAAATGAGTATAGTAAGGGGGCGAGGTGTGCAAATTTTTTCTTTCTTTCCGTTACTAAGAGACGGGCTTGGAGCGCTGAGGAGCTGATCTAGCCCAGCAGGGCTGGTGGGAGGGGCCTGAACTTGGGTGACAAGGCTCTGTCTGCTGCCTTCCTTACACAGGCCTGGAGGAGCAGACAGGACTTATGGCGCTCCGTCTGGGTCCGGGTCCGCCACTCAGAGAAGGCTGTCACTTTTTGAATGAGAATGAACCCGGCCTGGCACAAAGGAGATTTCCATGAACAGGAGCCTCGGAAAACGGGACTTGTTTTTCCTTTTCTTCCTTTTCCTGTCCATAGACTAAACACCAAAAAGCAACGGTTATTATTCCGTAATCGCAAGAACAGCTCTACTTAACTTTTTTACTGAAGCTATTTACCTGGAAAAATTGAAGTCTTTCAGGAATGATGACATCACACATATTTATAGCCTGGCATCACTCTGGCTTTGCGGGAGAATGGGCTCATTCAGTTTTATTTATGATGTGACACGGGGGTGAGTGACATCCGTCATCTGGGTCAGCCCTCTGCTCTGCTCCACTGAAGCATGTTTATGCAGTGATTATGCCTGCAAATATTTGCTATATTTAGGCTCACTCCTCCCCTAACCCCCTCTTAGCCCTCTTAAGTCCCCAAACCAGCAAAAAGCCAAGTTTATGGTCTAGGGAAGATTTGAACCCTAATGACGAGGCACGGGGGCCCGAACACGTGCTGTAGAAGTATGTGAGCAATTGGGAAGCCATTAGAATGGGCATACTGTTCTTCTAGCATTCACATGCGAAGGTGCTTTTGTGGCTCCCGCCTATGCAGGTGAGAGCCCTTAGGCTGGGCGAGAGGGGCTTTGACAGGTGGTGAGCGCGGCTGAGAGATGAGTAGCAATAGATGCTTAGGAAGCTTTCCTTGCAGGGAGCTTTCCCTGCCCGGGACAGCCCAGGCCTTTAGGTCCGTTGCTCTGGGGAGGACCTGCTAGCGGCTCTGTGACCTTTGCTGGGCCAAGGTCTCTGGGGAAACCTGAGGCTGTCCTCTCTCAGCCACACCTGGCCCCAGGCTAGGACAGCAGCTGTCCTCCATCAGCAGTGGAGGAGGGAGGGCCTCCTCTGGCCTGCTGGCTTTTAGTTGCACATGGCCTGACCTTGGCATTTCAGGCTAACAGAGACAGACTTTAGGACTCAGTATTTGCCTCCAGTGAGCTTGGCTACCTATTGTTTATCCTAGGAAGGGCCAGGTTTTGGCACGGTGGTGTGAAATGTTGCCAGCATTTTATTTTTAGAGACAGGAAAATGTCTGCTTTTTGGCAGCTGCTTTTATACACCAGGGATGGCATAAAAAAGTTCAAGTGAGAGATTCCAAGCATTAAATTCGTGGCATATGACACAAGCAATAGCACCATGAGTTTCTCAACAGCAGCCTTTGTGGAGCCTGAGATCTTTCATTAGAAGGCCTTCTGGGCAGAGTGGTAGCTCTGCTAGTATAACCTGATGACAGAAGGCCTCTGACGTCTCCTGAGTCCCCACTCAGAGGAGCAGCTGATCTGAGGCACTGATGGTACGTCAGTTCACCTGCTTATCTGCAATCCATAATCGAGTCCAGCTTGATAGGGAAAATAAGAAAGGCAGCCTACTAAATTTCATCTTCATCGCCCTCCTCGGACCTACTGACATTGTTAGGAGGCAGCCACCTTCCATGGCAAGAAGTAAAGTCTATGGTTAGACTCGGGGATTGCATTTCTAAGTCTTCCTGTGATGCATACTTTCCCTAATACTGTTCCCTCTTAAATCAGAGTTTTGTTGGTCCTGTCATTCTGGCTACTATCTGAAAGCATTTTGTAAACAGTGATGCCATATTATGTGAAGATAAAATTAAATTGTGTTTTCCTACCTTTCTCCTCTGGAAAAAGAGTACTTCCTAATTATAAAAATAAGACACAAGTACTACATTCTCCTTTCTGCCTATAGCCTTTTATTACCTTTTGGGTTCATTTTTCTTGCTGCTGGTATGTATCCTTTGATAGGTTTTTCTTATGTTCTCACTCTTCTCTCCATTCAAGAGCAGGAAATAAATTTTCCTGACAGCTTATGTGAGAATTCATTTTGAACTCAGAGTGTTGGTTTGGCTCATTTTGAACTCTTAAGTTTGAATTTACTTTTCCTGAGCCCTCCTAAGCTATTATGACATTGTTTCCTTGAAATTGCTGTGCTTCATAAGCAGTCTCATGTTGATCTGAATCTCATCATTTGTAGGGAATCTCTCTGACTCTTATTCTGCCTTGTAGGATTGTCTTGTCACCTTGACACTGTGGAGTTTTATTTTTATAT